ATTTCAAAAATGAACAACAATTCTCATATTCTGCTGAAATTCATCATTTATATAAATGTAAATAAAGAAATTTTCAAACTCATATTTGACACATAAAAATATTAACAATATCAATCATGATTTAAGTCTCTTAAAAAAAATTCCCAATATTTAGGTTTCTCACCAAAACTATATACAATCAAATATTTTGAAAGAAACTTTCCAAAATTATCTTTTCTATCAGTCAACAAAGATCAAAAACCATAGATCATTTTTAAAAAAAGAGACAAACCCATTTTCAAAATCCCTCAACTCTGTGAATAACAATATTTTCAAAGCATCTGAAAGATGATTTCGAAAATATATCTGCAACTTAATATATATATTAATATATAATAACCTAAAAATCCTACGTCAGATGTTTGAAGAAAAATGAGATTGAAACCCCAAAATCAACGCGTGTCGAAACTCCGACTCTTCACAGCACACATTGAAACCCTCAGAAGTTAACCAACTTTGATGAAGAATATGTCAGAACTCTAATGGATCTTGAGAAATTAAGTTTTGATCCAATTGCGTAAAGAAATGTAGAGAGAAAGAGAGAGGAAGGGTTTTAGAGAGAGATATATAAAAGTACTGAAATATCAAGATATTCACGAACTGATATATAACATGTCTGACTCAAGCATGGAAAGCCCCGCCGGCGTCAAAATACACTTTCCCAGTACTTTTGCAGACAGTCAGAACTTCTGAACCAAAACATTCTCGCCTGAGGCAGACAAGCAAACTTCTAATGCATTTTCATTTTTTGCTTTCGGGCATGCCTCTCAACCCACCAAGGGCACTGCCGCGTGAACCCGCAGCTGACCGGGCAAACATCGATTCCCCCAGTAGCGCTGCCCTGGACCCCCGGAGCTGACCAGGAGCCGTATCCCCGACTACTACCAGCTGAAGTGCAAACTAGGATCGTCTACAAGCGACTGTAACTGTTAAGCAGCTTATCTTATTTTACTTCTCATACAATGGCAAAGTTAAGACTAGGGTCTCTATGGCATTATTATATTTTGTCATGAGTAAACCCTCTAGGGTCTGTGCATATAGGAAGACAGTTGTGGGAGTGTAACTAAGTCCATAATAGTTTTCTTAGTCAGGATGACGTGAATGAGTTTTGGAACTCTATAAGATGAGAATTCTAAGCGATAGCGCTCTAAGTGTGCATAAGTTTTGAGAATGGAAAGAAATTTCTCAG